AGTCCTGTTTATACCCTTTTGGTCACAGTCTAGATTCAATATATTGGATCGATTTGAAAATATATTAGTAGTAAAGGGACTTTTATAAAAAGTAATATCAATATAAGCTTTAAGATTACTGAATATTTTAATATCTATAATAATAGATATATTTACACTAACAGTATTTGTTAGGATAATTTATAAATCCTCAGTAATAATCATTATAAAATAAAAACAAAGTTTAAAGTTCTCAAATTATACTTTGTAATATCAAGATATTTGTAATGTTAATATTTTTGTAAAATTAAGTTATTCAAGTTCACTTCTTATCAAATAATCAATTATATTATATAATAAATAATAACTCTACAGGTTTACAAAATAAAAGAATCAAGATTAGACTAATCAATAATAGAACCTTTTGAAGAATCGAATATACTATTATAGAGCTAATACAGGTTTTAATAGATATTAGATAAGATATATAATATTCGATAAGGAGAGAAGGAGATGTATAGAGCAATGCTTATTATATAGTGAATAAATGCCTAAGGCATCTATTCGATCTAATTAAGAATAGGTAGTGTGTATATAACAGGTGCAGGTGGGTATAAGTAGGTGTAGATAGGTGTAGGTAGTCACGTGTAGTGAACCCGTGACAGATTTGGATTTGGATTTGTAATTGTAATATCGGTCATTACTAGTACTAATACTAGTGCTAATATTTAATATTAAAGTTAGAGTTAGATTTGAGATTTGTATTTATATTTATATTTGAGAAGTATAAGTATAGATATACTCAGTAGACTCGAATATAGATATCTATTCTAGTATATATTTTCTATATACTCTATTTTATTCTACTCTACTTCATTCTACTTTTCGAGTTTATAATTAAGTATATCAAGTCTCAAATATCAAGTGTATACGTATCGAGTATATCGAGTATATCAGATTCATCATTCGTCATTCACAGCTCACAGCTCACAGCTCACAGCTCAGAGGAGGTAAGAATGGGTATAGGTGAGGATAAGGCAAAGTTATGAGTTGTGAGTTGTCATTTCCAAATTTCTTATCCTCAATTTCCTTACCCCTTTCTCTTACCTCTTCTTACCTCTTCTCATCTCCTGCCACCTTCAACTTCCTTACCCAACACTCCTCATCTAATACTCCTCACCAAACACTCCTCATCTTCCCCTCACCCATACCCATTCTTACCCATTCTTACCCATCCCATACCCATAACCTCTCCTTCTCCCTCTCCCTCCACCTCACCCAACTTCCTCACCAAATATTCTTATCTCCCCAATTTTTTAATTCTTCACCTCACCCATACCCATTCTTACCCATTCTTACTCATCTCACCCCTTCCTCACCCTCCACCTCCCCAAAATCTCCCCCATAAACCCCGTGCCCATTTTCCTCACCCCCTCCTCTCACCTCCTCTCACTTCCTCCTCACCCCTTCTCTTACCTCCTCACCCATTTTCCTCACCCCCTCATCTTCCCCTCCTCTCACCCCCAACCTCCTCCCATCCCCTTCCATCCCCAATTTCCTCATCCCCAACTTCTTTTCTCACCCCCAAAACTTTTATAACCCCCAAAACTTTCACAAACTCCTCAACTCAAGACCTAACTAAACTTTTAAAATCACCTATATACTTACCTACCTACCATTACAAACCAAACCAAACCAACAAGCAAACTCAAGATCATCAAGAACATTATTTTAATCAAAACAATCAAATCAAACCATTCTCTGAAAAGATTCCTCGATAAGTTCAGCAAAATGCCTTATATCCATTCATTCATTCATTCATTCATTTATTCATTAACTCTCGCTCATTCTCTCGCTTATACTCCTTCTGCATGATATCCCGACTAAATCCATGATCCATCATATTCGCTCATTCCCACGAGAGAGAGGGGGAAAAAGAGTAAGAGTTTTTCATGACCCATACCAGCTCAGCTCAGCCTATATCTTACCAAAATTATCCCATCCTTCCATCCATTCATTATCTATTGTACCAACCCCTCAATCCTTACCCATGTTTTCCCATGACGCCAATCTTGAAGGAAATGCAAGGATATCGTAACCCTCTGAGTCATTTCATATCATCAGTTTCCCCAGCCAAACCAGACCAAACCAAATTTTGACCAACTCAACTTGTGGTGAAGAAGAAAACCTTGCTCGGTTGAATATGAAAATTGAAAACCCAGGACCAGTCAGAATACAGAAAATGTGATGAAGAGAACTCCCCCTAGTATACGCAGTTGAAGTGAAGTGAGTCAAAGTGCCACTGTTTATGATCGGAGAACCAAGGATTAAAAGAAAATTGTCGCTAAAAGAGAGGAACTGTCGTCTGTAAGGCATCAATCATCTTGTATAATGTTTTTGGGTGAAGTATTATGTTCATTCTGTGGAATTGAATTCATTCCCTGTATCAGTCAGTCAAAGAGTACTCCTGTCAATAATAGGTTGAACTCACTCCATGCTACGTTGAACAGACCTCCGAAGTTTTCGATTATAGGTTTTCTTATCATCCGTAGACCCCCATAACAATTTGGCTGCTTCCAGGTTCACCAATGTTCTCGGATCATATGCTGGTGATACCTCCTCTAGAGCTTCAATAATTGATTCGATATGGGATTTGACATCATCAGAGCGCTTGGGAGTATAGCAAGGTGTTCCATCAACTCCAATGCGATGATGGAATAGGGAAGTTTCGAATTTCGCTCTTAGTTGTTCTTCTGGGAATCTTGGGCTGATATGAAGTTTAATTCGAAATAATCCCCCATCTAGATTGGTCATGGGACGACCGAAATAGGTGATAATCCAGACGAAAGGGTTCTTGTTTTCCAATTCAACGTCCAGTGTTACAGTTTTATTCCTTTTGTATGATTCAACCACTTGCTCGAATTGGCTTTGAAGATTTGCTGCTACACTACTTTCCTTCTTCTGTAAAAGCAATCCTTCAGTGGCCCAATGAGCAGTTTCGGCATCCAAGGTGGTACGAATAAATTTCAACCGTTTCTCGAGTTCGGTGTAGTTAAACTTTCCTTCCATGGTATTTCCACCACCCTCAAAAGGCATCCGAGTAAAAGCTTGACCATCACGAACCTCCTTTTTGGCTTTTGAAATGGCCAACATATACGAATCGTAATACCACAAAAATCTGCGTTTACATAGATCCTTGAAAGGTTCAAACGCGACTGAATCTTCGTCAAGTAGCTCTCGATCCAATTCGTTGTCACTAGTATCATCATCATCACTTGGTGTGTATGGTATGACTTTTCCTGCTGCGGTAATGTTCAGATATTCTTCGAGACGTTGAATGACTGAAATCCGGAGAGTTTCATGCCGAATCTGTAGACAAGTCAGTACAAGTATAAATCATGTCGAACCTCAAACATACCTTTGCAACATAGTCCTTTTGATTTTCCTTGTCGCTTTCATCATTTGCAGTTTCGAAACCAGGTTCATTTTCGTATGGATTGCTCGACATCAAGCTTTGTATTGAAATCAAAATCGACTCCAATCCTTGCGCCGATGACCACTCTTCCCCTCTTTCACCTCGCCATGTACTATTTTTTCTTATTTAGCTTTCAAATTCCAAAGCTATTATCTGGATGATTGGTAACTACCCTAAGATCGATCTGGAAGTAAGTCAGCAAATGGTGAAAGCATAATGACTCGATGGAGTGAACTTACAAGCAGACTTTGCCTTGCGCGTATATGTTTGGGTTGAATCGACATCTTCCTCCGTTTGTGGTGGTCGCAATAACACTAGGTGCCTTTCCAGGATAATCTATAGGAACTTTTCAGCTTCTAGTTGATGTGCAACCATTTCGCATAATCTTACCTTTACCAAACCTAACCGAAAACTAGAAAAGAATCAGTATTCCATATTGAGAGAGATATCATATATTCAATGGACCAACATCGAAGAAACCAAATTCGTAAGGAGTATCTGGTGGACCGATTATAATTGCTCTAACGCTTCGAACATCAATATCTTGACAGGCAACTGCTAGAGCTGTAATGTTAAATCATCAGTATGAGGTCGAAATATAGACGATGATATGCTTTGGAACTGATTGTATTAACATACATAAATCTGAACCCCTTTGAATATCTCCCAACTCCTAATATCAAAAGTGTCAGCCTTGCGCTTTCACCACACATGAGGGGGGTATGTAGTGATTTACCTTTGCAATACGAATAACGGAGTGATTAGACATGATTTTTAAAGTCTAAAGACCAATACTCCTTTGTGAAATGAAATCTTATTATTTTCTCGATGCTCCTCTGTGAAAATTGAAGGTATTAGAAAGTATGAACGTGAAGTTGTTGGAGGGGGAATTAAGTGATATGAGTGGAAGAGGAAAGCTGTGTAGGAGATTATCAATGAATAACAGGTGGCAGAATTCTGTTTGAGCTCTAGTTAATTCATGGGGAAGTGGGGCTTATATCTATATGGCTGAATTGCTATTTTATATCCATATCCAATCAGCAATACAACAGATTATATAGAACAATCCTATCTACCAACTCCAACTCCAACTCCAACTCCAATTCCAATTCCAATCCCAACTCCAACCTCACATCCATCCATCCATACATCCCCTATCAAAACCCCTCCATCAAACCAGCAAACCCAAACCCAACCCCAAATCCAAACCCAAATCTATAAAATTAAAACCGCGTAATAGTATAACAATACAACAATATAACAAAACACCAACACAACAACACAAACCAGCATCATTTCAAACAACAAATATACTATACAAGTAAGTAAGTATCACACAATATCACATAACCCACCCATTCATTACCTAGTAAATCTTACATTCATTTCCACAAAAACAATACCTACCTACCTACCTACTCAGTAGTATACAAACAATTCACATAAGGTAGGTAGGTAGAGATACCTAATTAAGCACCAACCACAGCACAGCACAGCACAGATCTCTCTCTAACAACTCATCATCATCATCATCAAAAGAAATTCAAAGAACTCCCCCACCCCCCCAAAAAAATCGAATACAATGTACTCTGAGTATAATATATAAAGCTGTCTGTCGGTCTGTCCGTCATCCATCCATCCTTCAAGTTCATGAACAAAAAAAATATCATCCATCCTCACGCTTTGGGTATTGGTATCTACCTATCTTCAAGCCGATTCTATTCATTCACCCGAAGGGGTCTCTCAGACTCAGACTACTCTACTCGAGTAGGTATTCCATTCCTATCATACAAAGGTAGGTAGGTAGGTAATTAAGACTATCCAGTCTAGGACTCTCGCACGCACCAGAATGTAATATATATATATACAAATTCATCCCATAAGACGAACGAAGACTGCGATTCTTGATACTTGTAGTTGTATCAAACCTACCTAACATCGAGAATGATTTCAAGATCATGTCTGTATGCTCGCATGTAGTGTGGGGACGAACCCGCCTCACCCCCTCCCCGCCCACCCCACCTTCCTTTCCCCTCAACAACAACCACCCCCCGTAGCTTTTTGAGGAGCCAATTTAACGTTCGTTTTAGCACCTCCAGCACCAGGTCCTTTCACTCCCGATCTCCTGTCGTTCAAATCATATCTCCCGGCTTCGATATTCATATATATCCTTTCAGCGACTCTTGCGAATGCATTTTCCACTCCTTCGCCACTCTTCGCACTTGTCTCGACATATTCCAATACGCCATTTCGTTTTGCCCAAGCTTCTGCTTCTTCTACGCTAACCTCTCGTTTGTTCTCTTCGCCTACGGCCAAATCACTCTTGTTTCCTACCAACACGACAACTATATCCGGCTCGGCAATCTGTCGCAAATCGTTCAACCAGTCCGTAACATGATCAAATGTCGGCCGCCGTGAGATATCGAATACAAGCAAGGCGCCCGACGCCCCACGAAAATAACTCCTCGTTACACTTTTATAAGTTTCCTGTCCTGCTGTATCCCATAAACTCAGCTTCATATTTTTCTGCAGCACATCCGACGCTGCCGCTGAAGTTTTCGGTATTGGCTCTTCGTCTAGAGTACTACTCGATTTCGGTTTGAAGCCTTCGGAATTTGGAGGACCAACTGGGATAATCCTCGATCCGAATTCGACTCCAATGGTAACATCATGATGTGGAGAGAAACGGCCCTCGCAAAGTCGAACTGTGAGTGATGATTTTCCAGTCCCGCTATCGCCAATACAGACGAGTTTGGCAATGTAATCCCATGATAATCCAGACATCACTCGTTGGTTTCTAAAAGCTCTGCGGGTTGGTGGTTAACCTTGAGGCGGGGATGGATGGGATTGACAAGTACTCGTACTATACTCGTACTATGGTGGCCAGATGCTTGTTCGAAACGTTGCGATCTGCGATCTGCGATTTGCGGTTTGCGAGTTGCGATTCGATGAAAGAAAGAAAGAACTGGTGGTACCTTTACTCAATCTCACAATCACAATCACAATTCAAAACAATAGATCAGTTCAGATAAATTGATATTGAAGTTATTAGTTTATGAGTTGTAAAAGATGGGGGGTCGGATCTGAATTGAATTGGATTGGATTGATGGCGAAGATGTAGGTAACTCATAGCTCAATCATAGAATACCGTTCCTGAACGGGTTGATCCACACACAACGCCAAAAATGCAAGCGGAGGAAATCTATCTGTTATCGTCTAGCGCCATCACTTCACTTCACATCATCCATCATATCATATGGGGGTGGGCGGTTAAGGCACAGTTGGACAAGCAAGTTCAGGCGGTGAAATAACAAAGGGATTCTAATAAGTATACCACTATCTATTCTAACGTATATTGAAACTTCTACCTACTGAGTACGATACGGGTACTGTACTCTCATACTCGTTTTGATATTCCTTCAAGCATTATCCTTTCGAAATATCACGATATCTTGAGGACGAACTTCATGTATTTATTTGCCTTGTGATATCATTATTTTATACTCCCCCGGCTCTCCGACATACGGTCTAGTCTGACTCGCATCCCTCAGGGACAAGCAAGTGACTGATATCTTACAATATCAACTTAACGGGTCATTCAATCAATTACTACTGATCAATAACCTTCTACCTTATACATCTACGCTTTTCAATTATTGGGGTAAATCACAAGCTTGAAATCATTTACTATTTACTCGAGTACTGTTAGTGATGCTGTTACTGTTTACATACGGTCGACTTACCACTACTTATCCATACGGATACGGGCCCGTGTACTGATCTCCTGGAAGTTGGAACCCATGAGTACCCACACAAGACGGGCCAGAATCAAAGATAGAACAACTCCTTATCAACAACCTCGATTTCTTATTCAACTTGATATAAATTCATTGAAGGGCCGAAGATGTTCTCAGAATGTAAGTAAAATTCATCTGCTATCATTCCATTTGTTCATTGTTCTAATCAATTTAATATTCAGATGCTTCGCGCTTCTTGGCTCAGTCACAGTCTCGATTCTCCAATTTCGTCCAACAGGATAACGAATCGCCTCCTCGAAATCCTAATGAACGTTATCAACGATCGCAACCTCTGCGAAGTTCAAGGCATCATCGAGCGCTTGGAAATCCTTATCAGTCTTCTCATCTCCCAAACTTTGGATTTACTTCTCGATATTCCCAAGCTCCTCCTGATGCTCCGCTATTTCACAGCGCTTTGAACGAATTTCAAGAAGAAGATGAGGAACAGGAAAGAGAGAGGGAGACTGCAGATTTCTTTGCATTACAACGATCACGAAGGGTCTTTGCGCCTGCGAGGCTGGAAGAAAGTGAGGAGACAGAGCGCGATGGGAGTGATATAGCCCTGGATGATAGTAAAGATGAAGATGGAAAAACAGCCGACGATCGAGAACGTCCTCGAGGTATTAAAAGTAGTTGGACCGGCGGAATAAAAAGTACCAGAGAGCGAGGGCGCACACCAGAAACAGTTGGAGAGGAAGGTGATGATGAAAGTAGGCGGCAAAGCAGTCGAGGAAGCAGTAGTAAAGAGAAGGGGAAAATGGTGGATGTTGGTTTGGAATCTACAATTGCCGACAGTGAACCGCCGAGTGAACTGGCCTACGATATGGGTGACGATAATCCTCCAGCCTTTCAACAATTTAGATCCGGTCCAAAATCGGGACAAATTCGATTTACCGATGATTCCAGACGAGGCAATGAGAGGGATGTTGAGTCAAGTCGACAACCTGGGACTAGATTCCCTATACCACCGAGCGAAGCAGAAACTGTTCCAGCGACAGTAGCCATAACTGCAAACGAAGGTCCAAAGCATGATATGTTTTGGGGGTCATTATTCTTGATTTGCTTGGGTGCACTCTTCGCAACTTTCTTTCTAATATTCCTCCACACATCAACACCCGAGGGAGTCATCGGAGATACTATCTATACAACTCTTCGATCCTCGTTTCACTTATTCGCCGTCGATACCCTAGCGTCAATTATCGTTTCTTTTCTATGGCTTGCATTACTACGATCTTTTGTTCGGCCTTTGGTATTCTTGATTGTTCTCGCGGTACCAATTATACTGTTCTCATTTTCGCTGTATCCTTTGGTATCTAGTATGAAAGGATCGACGGATCGAACTGGTGTACAAGATAGAGCTATGAGATGGATGTCATTTATACCTGGAGCCCTTGCTTTACTCTGGTTGTATACCATCTACAAAGGTCGCCAATCCTTGACCAAGGCAATCAATATTCTAGAATTTGCATCAAGGATTCTTGCTGCCAACCCTGGCCTGCTCGCATTAGGATTCGCTACATTAGGTGCAGTCGTGGTATGGACCTGGATATGGTTAGGAATGTTTACGAGAGTGTTTCTGGGTGGCCACCTCTCGAGGTCAGGTCTCAGCTTCATTATTGATGTAACGACTTGGTGGCTAGGTGTATATTTCGTTATGATGTATATTTGGACTCTTTCTGTTATTGGAGGGGTTCAGCGAACTACTACTGCAGCAACTGTCTCCCAATGGTATTATCATCGTAACGTACAGCCAGGACCTACATCTCGAGAGATTGTTGGAGCAGCATTCTATCACTCAACCAATACGATCTTTGGTACTATATGTCTATCAACTTTATTGGCCCTCTTGATAAGACTACCACTACTCGTTTTCCCACGAAGATTGGTAACCGCTATTTCAATCATTGCATACTCTTTTGTACCAACACCAGTTGCTGCTCTACTCAATCCTCTCACACTCACCTATGCAGCCATTCATTCTCAACCCCTCCAAACTTCCGCACGAGGTCTAAGTCAAATGACATTCCTCACACCCCAAGCACCCACCACAACCCTAACCCCACGATCATTTTCCTCCAGGACCCATGCCACCACCCCATTACTCCCATACCGCTTAGCCAAACTCCTACTCCACGCCACCCGCGTCATTATGTCCATGGCACTCGGATTCGGCGGTTGGGTCGCCACCGCTCGCCAATTATCCATCAGTATGCCTGATGGCCCGGGTATTAAAGGTAGCGCGTACGCTTACGTTGTAGGACTCGTTGCTGGATTTATTGGGTGGGGTGTTTTGGGGGCTATGGAGGGTGTATTGAGTGGGATTGTTGATGCGGCTGTTGTTTGTTGGGGGAGTGAAAAGGGTATGGTGGGTGGAGGTGCTTATTGTCTTGAGGCGGGGTATTTGTTTGGTGATAGTGGGGAGTAGGGGGTAGGGAGGAGGGGGTTAATAGATTAATGGATGAGAGGGGTGGAAGGGGTGGATTTGCATTTGGATTTGATGGGTTTGAGGATTTGATGGGTTTGGAGCTTGGAGCTTGGAGTATGAGGAGGCTTGGAGTATAAGGCATGGAGTATGAGGCATTATTTGGCATTGTATTGCATTGCATAGATTGATTGGAATGAAATGAAATGAAATGAAATGAAATGATATGATATAATATGATATGATATAACATAATATGATGAATTCTACTCTACAAGTCTCATGATATTTGATATTTGATATTTGATGTTATAGATTACTTGAGTATATGGATGGAATAGGCATTGTTTGGTTATAGGTATGGTTATGGTTATAGCAGGGTAGGGGGAAGGGAAGGGGGAAGGGGGAGAGGAAGGGGGAGAGGATGGGGGGAGTGGAAGGAGGGAGTGGAGGGAGGGAGTGGAGGGAGAAGGGGGAGAGAGAAGGGGGAGAGAAAGGAGGGAAGGAAGGAGAGTTAGCCACCTGGAGGCTGGATTGGATGAGTGGAAGGGGGTGTAGAGATGTAGAAGGATAGGAGAAGAGGAGGAGTGGAGTGGAAGGGGGGAAGGGAAGGGGGGAGGATATGGGTGGAGGAGTGTGGGAGTGTATGGTTATATGTTACGCGTCTATTATATCGCATTGTATCCCATTAGCATTATATCGTATCAGTATTGTAATAGTCGATTGGTGTGGTGTGGCGAGGGAAGAAGTATGCTATCATGTATATTGAGTATGAGTATGGTTAAGCTATGTATTCGAGTAGGTGGTATGTTGTATAGGTGAATACTATGTAGGTGGTGTGCTATGTACTCAATGCAATGCTATATTTAATGCTATATTTAATGCTCTATTTAATGCTTAATTTTCTTTTCTTTATATTAGAGTAGAGTATTATAGTATTATAGAGTATTAGTATTAGAGTATTAGTATTTTTATTATAGTATTAGAGTTTTAGAGTTTTAGAGGGTATCAGAGAGTATTAGCAGAGTATTAGAGTATTAAAATGTTATACTATTAAAGAATCTCCAAATCGATTGATCGATCGCTCTATCTATTGTGAGTAAGTTAAGTAAGTATCTGTTTAGATGAGTATTAGTATTGGTATGTATTGGAAGGATAGAGATGGAGGGAGAAGAAGAAGGAGATGGCACTGGCAAAGAAGGAAAGAGATGGGGAAAGAGATGGAGAAATAGGGGATGGAAATGGGGATGGAAATGGAGATGGAAATGGAGATGGAAATGGAGATGGAGATGGAGATTAAGATGGAGATAGAGATAGGATGGAGATAGAGATGAAGGAGGAGAAGGAGAAGAAGAAAGAGAAAGTAGTTTATTCCTTTTAATAACTAAGTCTAAAGGAATGAAAGGAGAACTAGAGATAAATATTATATAATGTCTAGATCTAAAGCTCTAAAACTAAAGCTCTAGGCTAAGAAAGAAATCTTTAAAAGAATCGTCTTATTATACTATAGAGTGTATGAGCTAGTGAATAAAAGAAAGCCGTCTATTCCGTTATAATTATATTGAGACTCGGAGAGAAGAGATTTCTTTGACTTTAATTTATTATATTTTAGATATTGAGAATTATAATTCAAATTAGTAAATCTAATAATATATGTATTCTATATACTACTGGTATATATGACTAATTCGTTAGTTAGTCTGATTAATATTGATTTTGATTTTGATCTTCTTTTCTATCACTCGCTAGTATTAGTAGCACTAGTATATGTATTCAAGTATATATATACTACTCTTAGAGAATGGATATTATATAATAAATATATATCCTATAGTTTACTATATCTAGTATTGCAAACGAATTACTCATCTAGTCAATGGTCATCAACTATCACTATGACCATAACACTCACCAATGTATCCATATGTAGAACTCGAGAAATAACAATTATCAAATGATTCAAATCGGTCAAGTGATAATACTGAATTAATCTCAGCGTCTTCCAGGACAGGACGAAGTCCAGCCACATATATCACAAACTCTCTCCTGCGCCGTATTTAATTATCCATATCATATTCTGAACAATTGCAACGAACATTTATAGTTACTCGAGTATCGCAATTTGCAAGGAATATTATACCGGTAGTTGTCTTCCTCAATTTTTCCAACCGACCGACCGATCGATGTTTAGTTTGGAATCTTTGCATTGGAAATAGAAAGAGAATGAATGAATGGTAAGGTAATTGAGTCTTGAATCAAGAATATTAAGGAGAAAGAGTTTAGTGCGTGATGTCCTGTTCCTAATACAAGTACTGATTGCAAAAAGTTCTTACACTTTTGGATAATGTGCAGAACTATCTGGAGGATAATATAGGATATGGGATATGGGATACGGTCGAGCATTGGACTATTCATTCCTCAGAACGAGATTTTTCTTGCACGAAGAATTCTTGGATTATTCATATTATTATACTACTTACAAGTTACCATAACGTGGTTTATCAGTACGTGGATCATATCAGTACGTGGATCACTTTTACCTCAATTTACAACTTCAAAACCATATTATTCAACAACTATTGAATCAATTGATTGAAACTATTAGGAATCTAATAATCTAGGATCTATTACATTACTAGAACAAGTTCTTGAATTATAACCTGGTTTTCTACACTTACTACAGCATCTACTAGAAGATACTTCCCTATTAGAATTCGTTCCATTTTGACGCTCATCGTATAGAATCTGAATATCAACCTCTTACTAAGATAATATATCTATAGCCTCTTATCCAGTAAATATTCCTTCTTGATATAATTGAGTCTTTTTTGCATATCGATATTTGCTTAATGCCTCATTTGCCTTCCGAAGTATACGGATTTCTGTACTTAAAAGTGTATTCTCATGTACTAATCTCTTTGTGCCTTTAACTAAAACTAATATAGTTTCGAATATAGGTATAGAAGAGCTTGATTGATAACGATATATTCGAGATTTGACTAAAGTCGATTGTGAAAGAGCTTCAGTTGGATTGTGAGGTATTTGAGAGATCCAAGAATCGACAGGTTCCGAGGGAGTGAATAAAGGGCTAGGCGTATGAATTCGAATATCTAATTTCGAGAGTACGGCTTGAGGATCAAATAGTATTAGTCCTACTCCTTGAAAGCCAGTTTTCATATTCTGAATTGTAATCGATTGTTGATATACAGCTTTGAAAGCTATAAAGAATTCAATCTTTGAGATATGATTGATATAAGCCTTGATAAATCCTTCAATCTGAGAACCATATAATCGTTTCAATACACTAAAGCATCCAATATCCAATAGCTGAATTAAATGACTTGAATACAGTAATAATTTGAGATATATAATATCATTTTCTGTATAGTATGATTGAAAAGATATCGATTCGTGGCTTTCATGCCTATCCAATACTAGCATTCGATATTTGCCTGTTCTTCGATGGATTGTATATTTATCGAAATGCTTTATCCATTCTAAACCCGTCTCATTATTCGTCCATCCATTACTAGTAGGTTTAATAACCCAATTCGCCGGCAGATCGGTTTCAGTATACCAATTAGAAAGGTAATATTATCCTTACACCACTAAAAATGGAGATATAGTTTCACCCTCTCTATTACCACATATAATCACTATAGCCCATTCTCGATTGCCTGGCTATATTGCTTTGCTTCTGCCATACCATTCAATATCAATTACAACTATTCCAAAGCATATTACATCTATCATAAAACCAGTTTCATCGAAATTGTAAAAATCCGACCCTGAATACTATATTTGGCCTGTATATTCAATACTAATCGAAACCACTCTTCAATAAGCTTAAGATCTTTACAAAGAGCTCTTTGAAAATCATAAACACAATTGAAACACATCTTTAATTCTATATAACATTTTACAAATCGATAAACCCAGAGTTTTCTAACCTTTTTCGTATCTCTCGATTTAAGAATATAATTCGCCATATCTTCCACACTACTTAATTTAAATACAAACCCTTGATTATCTATATCAATAATATATTGAATAAGTACTTCCTCTTCCATTTTTGTAATATTATGATTTTTTGATCGATATTCTATATAAGAGATAAAACTGTTCATTCTGTGGATAAGCGTTATATATAGTATATTGTATAGCTTGGAAGCTTTTCGATAGCTTAATTTTTTGTCTTTTTGAATAGCTTCAATAGCTAAAAGTATTCGACCTTCTTTATTGTTCGATTGCATCGTAGATTGTTGATAAATCGCGTGTTGAAGTTGAAAGTTGTAAATTGAGGTAAAAGTGATCCACATACTGATATGATCCACATACTGATAAACCACGTTATACATATATACCCTTAACAAGTATCCGGAAAATTCGATCCTACATTTAACCTTACTAAGCGAATATTACTTGACCCTGCACCGCACCACCAGGAGTAATAAATAGCCAGCCCAGCCCTCCTCGACAGGAGAACATTCTTACAGTAAGTAGTATAACGTGG